CCCCTCTCTACTTGTCTCAGGTGTGTGTCCTACCTCCCCTCTCTACCTGTCTCAGGTGTGTGTCCTACCCCCCCTCTTCCTGTATGCAGGTCACATCTGTACTCAGATGTGTGCAGTGCCATATTCTTATCTGTATCAGGTGTATCCTGTGTCTGACTCAGTATAACTATACTGTAACTCCTGTTGGTCTATTGGTAACTCCTCTGCTGGTTAGACTGTATACACCTGGGTAATAACTCCTCTGCTGGTCAGACTGTGTACACCTGGGTTATAACTCCTCTGCAGATCTGACTGCGTACACCTGGGTAATAACTCCTCTGTTCCAGGTGGCTCTGGACATGCTGGATCCCCAGGTGGTTCTGCCCACTGTGCTCCCTCACCTGCGACAAGGAGCTGTGTGCGCAGTCTACCTGGCCAAGTGAGTGAGTACACAGTGCAGGAGCCACAAAGCACTGGCTGTCTTATTATTTGTAGCATTTATTTTCACTGTATGTGCACCTTCAAGCATTTAATTTCATTTACATAAAATAAATAATTCCCGTTTTGAGTTTTTCTGCTAAACATCCATGCGCTGCAGTGTTGCATAGTGCCGAGAGCACTGTGAAACAGAGCTGGTCTGTTTGCAGTAATTGTCATTCGACCTCCGTCCTGTGGGGGCAGTATCACACAGGTGGTGGATCTGCTGGAGGGCGTGCGGCGGAGCAGGTTGCCTCTGCTGTGTGAGCGCGTCATCGAGGTCACGCACAGGGATTGGTTCCTTGCCCCAGTCATCAAAAAAGATGGGAGCTACGCCCTCAGAGTCTTCCCCTCCGGGGCCACAGATCACGGAGAGGAAGAGTTAGGCAGTGAGGAGGAGTCGGCGTCATGTGATCAGGAGGAAGGTAACAGCTAAAATACAAACAGGACAGACATCGACAGGAGGATTACTTAACAAGAGAGACTGCTGGGGTTTAAGGCTGCAAGGCCTTTATCCTCATCAATTCATTATTGTTTGATCTGGATAGCTTCAATTTAAGCTCCAAATCAGGCCTCTACTGTCTATACTTACAAAGTTTAGAGGACATCATTCCTGGAGGAAATTGCCTCTTGAGGTCTGTAACAATTGGGAGTACTAACAGTTAATCATTTAAGGCTACAAACAAGAGGAGACCACTCAAACTATTTGTTTACTAACAGCTCATTAATATGAGAATCTCATACAGACACTTCTTGAAAGTATTCAAAATCCACAAAGTCACCCCGGAGCTTTCCTTCAGAATGAATGGTGAAACATGAACCAGAGAACCCAAGTGGAAACTCAGTGTAACTGCTTTTTAAACTCCAAACAGGAGGGACCTCTTTACACAAAGGGTGGTGGGAGTATGGGACACGCTAACCAGCCATGTAGTTGAAGCCTGGTTTCTTTCAAGAAACAGCTGGATGAGATCCTGGTGTCAATTACCTACCAACTACCAAACAGGCCAAATGGGCTGGTTGGCTTCTCTTCTTTTCTTATGTTCTTGATTAGGTTCTGGTGTTTTTTTTCTTCAAATGTAGGGGTTATCAAGCTGAACCTGGTGGGTTCGAGGCGTTAGCTGGTTTGTTCCATTTTCGGTGAACAGCTGTTACACAGGAGATGTTATGGTCAGTAGACACACCCTCTGCCCCAGGACACATTAGAAATATCCTGGCGAGTGGTCGAAGCCCACCTGCCCCTCCTCAGCCCAGCCCAGGGGTGTGTCTGGTCCAGAGGACGTGTTCACTTGTGCTGTTTCACCTCCTGACCACAACACGCTGACTTGTGATCAGTGAAAGCCTGTCACTCACAGACCTGTTTGTAGCCAATTTGCTGTTGCACTATTGAAATAAGCCCCTGACAGCAGTTGTGGGTCCCACTGCTATATGG